CAGCAGCAGCAGCAGCAGCAGCGGGAGCGGGAGCGGGAGCGGGAGCGGGCCGTTGAGCCGCCCACGACAGCCGCAGCGGCAGCGGCAGCGGCGGCTGCGGGGCAGAAGGAAAGGGGTGTCGCACCAGCCGAGGCTTCCTCTTCCTCCTCCTCCTCCTCCTCGAGCCAGCCGCAGAGGCGGCGTGCCGGAGCAGCCGGAGGTAGCGGCGGCGGTGGCGGTGGCGGCGGCGGCTGCGGCCTACCGTGCGTCGTCAAAGTCTTCGGCTTCTTGTGCTCGCAACTCGTGCGGAGGGGGGGCGGCGGCGGGGCGGGGGCTTCCGGGACCGCTAGCGGCGTGTCTTCCAGGGGAGGAGGGGCTTCGGGGGGGCCCACCCCTCGCCGGATCCTTTGCCTCCGGCTGATGAGAACGGCGCTGGCGGCCGCGGGCGGCAACCTGGCGGCGTACCCGTCGCTGCTGGAGATGGTCAGGGACGACCTGTGCTTCGCGCTGCTGCACTTGATGCAGGGAAGGTGCGGTGCGGTGCGGCGCGGTGCGGCGCGGTGCGGTGCAATCGAGTTGGGGAACGCTGTTTTTGTTTTTGAGTCCTTGCAAACGTCGTGCTTCAGCAGCGGTCACCTGGCGATGTTTGTACGCGAGGCGGTGTAGTGATCGAAGGATTCCCGAATGCGTTTATATACCGGTGTCGCCTTTTTTGGTGGGGGTTGTGTTCGAGGTGCTGCTGATCTCTTGGGTGGCTTACATGTTTTTGGTTGCCGTGCACGTTTGGCAACAGTTAATTTTGTTGCATGGACCATTCCCAACACCCAAGCTGCGCGTTCTGCGTTGCTACGTGTGAGCCCCTCTCGCTGCATGCTAACAAGACACCCTGCGTTGCTGTGCGTGTCGATAAATTTTGTGAGACTCTCTCGCGCTTATACACCATGATCCCCTTCTCACTCGTCGAACAACGATAACGACCCGTGTTTCTTCCCCCGTGTTTCTGTCTACGAACGCCAGCGGAGGCGTGAACGTGGTCGGGGAGGTGCTGTCGATAGTCCGCTATCTATGGGGTTCCTTGAGGGTTCATCTCAAGGTGCGACGGAGGAAGGAGAATTTCGATTTAGTACATCGTGATGAAGCACTATGGGGGCGGGGGATGGGCGAGCGGCGTCGGTCGCTTAATAGCTCACCCATCCCATACCTTGAGGCGGAGGGGCAGGGTGTGTGGGGCGGGGGGGTATATTCATGCGTTGCTCCCCCTTGGTCGTTGTGCTATGCGTAGCTGCCGATCACGGGTGATCCCTCTCGCCCGAAACAGAAGCGCGATGCCTGTGAGAGTGAGGCACGACCCGCCGTTCCGATGGGGCACACACCCGGCACGAACGCTTCCTCTGTCCCCCGCTCCTCTGGGACGATCTCTGAGCTTGTACCCATGCATGACCCGACCCCGTCGGTACCCGTTCGCCGCGCCCACGAGTCCCCCCGCGACACAAAACAATGCCCCCCGTTACGGATATGTCGATCA